TCTCTATTTGTCGCCCAGTCCGATTTTCGTCCCTTGGTCGCAAAACCGGGTACAACTGGTCCCCCAACTTACGAAACCGTTTAAATAAGGTCCCTCAGCGGTATTGTACCTGGTTTTTGCTGACGTGGCGTCGACGTGGCTTCTTTGACTAGGTCTTCGTCATACATGGCATTAACGTGGCGCTTACGTGGTAATTTGATCCCTGAAAAATAATTAAAACAGTGGGACCCACATGTCAGCTTCATATCCATAATCTTTCCGGTCAGCGAAGAAGGACAAGCGGCCGAGCCGGAGCGGACGACGCCGACGACCGGAGCAAGCTGGCGACAAGAAAGGCGGCGCCAAGGGCCGGGAGCCACTCTCCTCCTCCTTGTCGGCCGCGGGCGGGGAGATATCGGCGGCGGCCTCGACGGGGAGCCGCTCTCGCTAACGGTGGCCGCGGAAGGGGAGATGTCGGCGGCGGCCTCGGCGGGCACACCCCGCTCCTCTCCCGCCGCCTACCGCCCACCGCACCCCGCTCCTCTCCCGCCGAAGCCCGTCGGCGGGCGCACCCCGCTCCTCTCCCGCCGCCTACCGCCCGCCGCACCCCGCTCCTCTCCCGCTGTCAGCCGCCCGCCGCACTCCCCCTCCTCTCCCGCCGTCAGCCACCCGCCGCACCCTGCTTCTCTCCCACCGGCATCGTTGAAGCATACAGAGCCACAGAGGTAGATGAGGTTGAAGAAGTGGGACCCGCTGACATGTGGGTCCCTTTTTTATTTTTTTTACTGGCATGTGGGTCCCACAAATTTTGTATAATTTTTTTATTTTGAATTTTGATGTTTTTATTTTTTTTCGGATCTAATTGCCACGTAAACGCCACTTCAATGACATGTGAGACAAAGACCCAGTCAAAGGAGCCACGTAGGCGTCACTTCAGCAAAAACCGGGCATAATACCGCCGAGAGACCTCACTTACATGGTTTCACAAGTTGGGGGACCTATCTTACCCGGTTTTACGACCAAGGGACGAAAATCGGACTGGGCGACAAATAGAGGGACCCAGAGTGAACTTATTCCCCCTAGGTGCCGTTGTCGTGCGCCGTGATTTGAGCCGCCGCTGACGCCGTGCCGTACCTTCCTCTGCCGCTGCCAACGTCCTTCCGTCGCCGCTAAGAAATCAAAAAGACGTCAGCCGCACGTCACTTCGCTGACATCAAACACGAGCCGAACCGACATCGATGCCCAATCAGAGGACGAGACCGACGCCGTCATCCTCCTTCTCACGCTACCATCGCCGTGCCTTCCTCGTCCTCCTCCGGTGAACCGACTTCCCGACTCCTATAAATAGCCGGTGAAACCCTCTATTTTCCCCACATCATCCGAGCTCTACGAGCTCTCTCTTCTCTCTCCACCATGACCGGCCACCACTAAGTCCCGGCCGATCTCCTCCCCTACAGCTCCACTTCTCGAATCCTTGCACCACTAGTCTCTCTTCACTCCGGCGAATCCATTTTGTCCATTTCCCCCTTCTCTCTCCCTCCAAACTAAGCCACCACCATTACCACCTTAGCCGGCCGAAGGTGAGCTCGTGTTGCCGCTGTTCCGGCTAACTCACCCTTCCTCTCTCCCAGCCACCACCCTCCCCGGGTGCGCGTTGCTCGGGAACACGTTCCGCCACCGACGTCGCCGTCCCCCATCCACTGGAGCACCGGCGTCCCTCTCTCCCTCTCCTCTCGTTTACTCGGCTGAAAAAGAAGAAGGAAGATACGGGAGGAAGAAGAAGAGAAAGAAAAAGAAAAGAAAACAAACACTGACAGGTGGGCCCCTGCACAGTAACTCTTCCTATTTTCCCTATTTAATTCAAATCCAATTCTTTAGAAGCCCATATCTCCTAAACCGTAGATCCAATTCCAATGAAACCTGGATCTAAATTCATCTAAATTCAAAGCTATATTTTGATACCTAATTTGCTATTTTATAATTTTATTTGAATTTATTCAAATATCATTTGAATTTATATTTGCCTTTTTCAAATACTTTCTTTTACCCCAAAATACCTATTAGCCACTAAAATGCCGCCGATTGGAACTTTACGTCTTCCATGGGGACGTTTGCGGTCTATTGGCCCTGACGTCGAACCGTTGGTTGTAAAGCCTGACAAAACCCAAACCAAAGGTCGAAGTGCTGCTCCTGGCATCTTACGCCTCGCTGCGTACAACGGTCGGAGCTTCACTATTCCCTCGACCACCATAGCACACTGCACAGTTAGCTTTCGGGCCCTGTGTGATCCTAGCCGCTCCGCCGCCACTCACGGTTGTCGGAGTAACACTTCCGCCTCGCTAAACCTGCACAAACCTCCCATCCCTCTAGCCGTTATATTGTCTATTGACACCGACTAGAGAAGATACCAAACCTAGTCGTCATGCTTTAGCGATGACTAGCGAACACCCAAACCCTAGCCGATATTTATCTTACCTTGATATCGGCTTAGACAATTGAAGCCAGACCCCCACCAGCTATAATCTCAACCATTTACCCTCCAACTACCCATAGCATATACATGAAATACGAGCCGATATGCTATCCTATTTCAGCATCGACTCGAGAACAACTAAATCCTAGCTATTCTTCTACCAAAGCCAACCTCGATCAATACTAGCCACATATCCACTTAACCAGTTAGATTATTCAATATATCTCCTACTCTCCAAGAAACCAAAACCCACACATGAAATATAAGCGACATTAGTTGCTTAATCCCCTCTAGCCTCCAACCCTTTAGAACCTCCACATATAATATTAGCTCAATAATCCCTATGTCCTATAAAAGAGATAGGCTATATCCTAAAACCAAGCCCTCTTTACCGTTTATCGTTTTCTCGTTATTTTATGACTTTTATTGAATTTGGTTCTTCGTCTTTCTTAGTAGAGTCTATTATCTTTTGGATGGCAACCTGTGGTATTTCGAGGATCGGATAATCAGGTTGCTTATCTTGAATTTATTTGCGTTGGAGCAAGGCAAGTTATTATCTCTCTCCTTTGAGCATAATTATCCTTTATTCTATATCTCCATTATCTCATGCATTAGTCATTCATGATTTCGAATGCGTAACCTGAACATAGCAAACCAGATATGCTAGCTTTGCTTAGCCCTGCCTAATTAGACTGCATAAAATATAATGAACTTAGATTGGAACAATATGGTAGAAATGGTTGATTTCCAGGTGGCTAGTACTGTTCCAACCGACATAAAACTGCCAAGTACATGTGAAGAACATACGAGTACGACCGCAATTCTCGTATGGGCATAGACCTAGCTGATTAAGTTATCTAGCAAAGGTGGTACCTCTGTATAGTGGTTTTTCTTAAGTCCTCGCGCAGGAGGCAAATTTATGCCGTGAAGGGCAACTGTGATATTTATCGAGGCGCAGGTAAATATATGAGATGAATTGTGCACAAATTGTTTGTGAACCCTGATTGCGATGACATGGTGTCATACAATCAGTTCTCTCTAAAGACCTCGGGAACGCCAGAACTCCTCTCGCTGCTGATAACGTTACGTTCAGAGTGCATGGGGACTAGAGTTCATGGAACAGGTACCACTAATGTTAGTAACCGAAAAGCTTTGCCATGACAAGGCTAATGTGTTTGGCACGTCATGGATTGTGGGTAAAGCGTACATCTACTGTTTCTTAAAACTATTCGAATAGCCGTGCTCGCGGTTATCGGGCATTGGGACTCACAATGGCATCTTGGTTAGAAACATAATTCTAGATTTTATTAAATACTGTTGCATTATAAACATTATAGACTTTCTACTTCTACATTCTCAACTTTCTGCAATTAAACCTAGCTCTACACATATATTACCATTTCATGCATTCATTGTTGATTAATATAATAGCTTGCTGAGTACGTTGTACTCACCCTTGCTTTAACCCCCTTCTTTCAGAGTTAATTTGGAATTCTTGCCGAAGCCGGGAGTTCAATTATATAAGTTAGTCTTATATAAGTTAGTCTCATCTCAACCTAATTCGCAAATATAGATTAGATAGATGGTTTAAGTCTATAGCCAAACATTAGGGTCAAGTCATTCTATAGCTTCTGTTGTAATAGTTAGCCACAACCTTGTAAATACCCTATTATATCACATAAAGAAGTCTCCTTTGGAGCCTTGATCAAATGTATGCAATGAAGATCCAGATTGTTGAACCTGTATCAATCTACTGATCCAGGGCTTGATACAGTTAAACATGTCGGTTTCCGAATCATTAGTTCTGGGACCCGACAGCGTTGATATCAGAGCATATGTTTTACTAGAGCCTTAAACCCATAGGTTTTCTAACCCCCTTCATGAGTAACTTTCCCACCTATATAGAATAATTTGGTTAAAAACTAAAAATTTGCCTAATAATTTTGCTAAGGCCTTTATTAGAATGAACTCCCCTTCACCGTTGGTTTTATTTTTTTGCTTTTACTTATGCATCATATCTCTCTTTCAAAAGAATAACTATTTTAACAATAAAAGTATATTCCCCTCCGAAGACCCTTGTCCTTGATATTTCAAGAAAGTCAGTGGGTACAAGCCTTTGATTATGCCAGCATGAGCTGAGTTTATTGCAATCCAAGCAACTAAGAATACAAGTTCTGAGGAATTATTTGGTGAAGCAAATATGTGTCCATATTGTCAATATAATAGAAGAATATTGGAATATAAGTGGATTTCTTTAAGGGGGGGGGTAGTTCAATATAAGAACTATCAGGATTCAAGGAGCCGTTATATTTGAACATGAACAAAGTCTTGAAGCTCATATCGTGAAGAAGAAAGAAGGGATGCATATTACGAAATTTTGGAATTTTGATAAAAGAATCCTTTGAGTAGTATTTATGAAAATATTGTCTATTCAGGCAGAAATGATCGAAGACATTCTAACAGTTTACAAGACATTATATATATATATATATATATATATATATATATATATATATATATATATATATATATATATATATATATATATATATATATATATATATTGGACTAGGGAAATATGTGCAAGATGAAAAGGGGATGTCATATTATATGTTTTGATTTTATGCGAAGAAAGGTATATATATATATATATATATATATATATATATATATATATATATATTGGACTAGGGAAATATGTGCAAGATGAAAAGGGGATGTCATATTATATGTTTTGATTTTATGCGAAGAAAGGATAGTCTTGATCCGTTGATATCTATCAAGATCTATCATTGACATATATACAATCAAGAAGACATACAATATGAAGCCAAGTGACAGTTCAAGTACTTGAGAAGCATCCAGATATTTCCAAACAAATAAGTGACTCAGAATGAAGGATTCCCGAGATTATAGAAATCTAGTTGAAGAACTTCCAAATATACAAGACTCAGAATAATTTGAAAGATTCCAAGAGCTTCAATTTCAGGGAGTAGAAGATCAACAGACTGGTGATGACAATAAACATGCAAATTAATGGACGCGGTCTGAAGAAAGTTAACCAACCAAGAAAACATTTGTTCTGAAGACTATTGATGTAATTTAGAAGGGAATCATCTCTTCCATCCATATATACAAAAAAACCCCTATGTTATCATAAATCATAGGTAGAGCGAATTATCAAAGAATACACTAATATGAGGTTATATGTATATAATGAGAGCGGTTATACCTATAGACATCATACTATTATGGAGCAATGCATGGAGTAACAATTTCATGAAGACAAGAGCTCCTATTGGTTAAGTGGCACAACCAATCAAGAAGAATAAATGAAGCTTCAGAAGGAACAAAATATTCATGGAATATTTGTTGCCGCGCTGAATGAAGATATTTTTTCCAAGTATACAAGTACTTACATTAATGAAGATAGCTCTTTCTGCCAAGCTAAAACTATGACTGGATAAAAAAAAGCAAGACCTACAAAGGGAGTCTGAACAGATAAATCTAAGCAACATAACGACATTGTGTAGAGAAAATGGAATAAAGGTTTATACAAGAAAATAGGATAGTAACTTATGTGCCATAGTAATTACGACACATAAGCATGACTATTCATAATTTGAAGATTACATGATAAAGTGGACACAAAGAAGACCTAGGACGACCGACTATGAAGGCCTGAATAAAAGAGGTATTCTATTCAAGACCCTGATCTGGAAAGATGGATATGAACCAATAATTATTCAAGATGGTAGTACTGAAGGAACTTATTATACTCATTTATCCTAAATATATAAATGGGTATATCAGACCAGGAGAAAATATCTGAAGAAATCAAACGATACAAAAATACGGGTTAGAGACATATAAAATTCCCTCAAGGCATGACAGATAATTTCACTACTCGGATACGTATGATTGGAGGAAGAAAATTTGCAATTTCGACAAGTACCAAGATTCTGAACAAATATTGACAATAAATTTGGATTAAAAAAAAGGATATGAACCATCTACGACAAATTTCCTTATTTTTAGTCATAGATTGAGTTATAATTTTCTCGACTCGAGAAGAATCAGCATAGAAGACCAAGAATCAACAAGAGGAAAATAATTAGAGGACACAAAATTATTGGTTGAAAATATACCTTGAACAAGATCTCTCCATGGTTTTCGTGACCATACAAAAACTTGGAGATTCATGGCTAGAGCTAGAGATTTGTACTCCCGACAAGCACAAGGATTTTGAATGGATATCGGTGGTATATTTGGATAAAAAGAACATAAATTGTTTATAGCAAATTTTGTTACCCACATTTGAAGAATCAAGTCAACAATTTTCTGGACACCACGAAGACCATGAATTAAAAAGAAGAAAGTGTCTCGACAAACATTTTCAACCCAAAGAACTATACACCATGCCAATCATGTTGAAGGCAAGGTTATCAATGTATAGCAAAAATAGAGATGGCCAATAAAAGTGCGACTGAATGGAATGGTTTACTTTAGGAAGCAATGATTACTTTTATGCAGTAATCAAACATGTGATATAATTTCTTGGAGAAAGAGAAGTTCTGGAATAAATTCACTACTATTTAAACTCTATGGATTCTGAAATATTTCATGATATTTCCTAAGTACGGGTAGTGAATTATGCACCCGGATTGCTATGACATACCTTCTTATATGTGACACGCAATAAGGAGCTAACACATGGATTTGTACTAAAGGAAATGGTTAGATATAGTTAGAGAATATAACTTCAATGCTCGACACTATTCAACAAGTTGTAATCATAGAAATACAGCATGTAGTTACCGCAAGAAATGCCGCAAGGGAATGCATAAGAAGAGGATCGGTGACTACGAATAATTAGAGAATTAAGAAACAATACAAAACTATGAGTCAGAAATCTAAGTTAGGGAGTTACAAAAGGTTGGAAGAAAATATTGTCTAAGAAGACATTGAAGCCATGAAACGAAGACCATTCATCAGCTCTATTTCGAGGATACGAGCGGAAGTCCGACCACCCCAATGAGGAGCAGAACTAGAAGATCATAGTAAACCTCATCGATAGGTATCATGACTGCATAGGTGCAAGAAAGATTCAAAGTATACATCCAAGAATACAAGTTATCTATCAGCAGTTGACCAATCGGGTATCCGAAACTTTTGAAAGGAATAAGGAAAGAATAAAGTTCCTATACTTCTACTTGTACTCTTCAGAAATCTCGAGGACGAGATTTATTTAAGGGGGCAGGTTTGTAACATACTGAAAATTAGCTATTTTCTAATTATGCATCATGCCGGTTCTTATGTTCTTATTAACCTTCTAAACCTAGGAAAATATAATTAGAGAGAGACCTCCTAAAACTAACTTGCATAAAATCCCTCTTTGATATTTAAAAGCTTTTGTGATTTTCATTTAAAATTATCTTGGGATATTTCTTGATTTGGTTTTAATTTAAAACCTTCTATTGACAAAATTCCTTTTATTCAAATTTAGTTTAAAAACCCTTTCCACTTTTATGAATTATGGTCCAAGAAATTCTCCATCATTGTCCTAGAACCTAAACCAAGTGATTCCAATTTTATAGGAATTAATTGTCGATCCATCCTTTGATTCGAAACCTATCCTTAACTTTCTTCCAAATCCAAATTCCTTCCTTTCGATCTAGCCACTAATTTAATTCATGTGGCTTGATACCCTCTTTGGCACAATAATAATATTTTTTTGAATAATTGCTCTTGTGCTAAGAAGGATATATTTTTATTTTATTTCCCTCTTCCAAATTAATCTCCTTTTAGCCTCAAATAATTTTCTAAATCCATGTCAGGCAGTTTGTGGCTAAAAATCCTATTTATTTCCTCTCTTTGTTTTCTTACCTCATTCCCAAAAATATTTTGAGGAATTATATTAATTCCCTCCCATTTGAGTCTTTAATATTTAGACCACATTATTGCACTCAAATATTTAGGAAATATCTCTTTTGAAAGTTATCTCCAAAAATAGATTCATTTCAAAAGTTAGCCACCTAAATTCCTTCCAAATATTAATTTGGATTCAAACTTCCTTCCTCAAATATCTTCCAAAATTCAAAAATAACTTCTATTTGCTTTTGGGCCAAAATTCCCTTTTCTTCTTCTATCGGCCCATCTCCCTCTTGGCCCAGGACGGCCCAGCCAACCCTTCCAGCTGAGCCGCCCCTCTCCTCTCTGTGGGCGCCAATGCCAGGTGCCCTGGGCGCCGTTGTCGTGCGCCGTGATTTGCGCCGCCGCCGACGCCGTGCCGTACCTTCCTCTGCCGCCGCCAACATCCTTCCGTCGCCGTTAAGAAATCAAGTCGGCGTTGTTAGATTAATGGGCTAGGCCCAATTAAATCCTAATAAATTCCATTGGCCCACATTAAGTGCTATGGGTAATAATACCAGCTTTGAAATCTAAGTGAAGAGTTCTCAACTTAAATACGGAGCTAGTGGAAAGTCTCTGTTGACCGGTTGAGATGGTGCGCGGACAACCAGGAGGGGCGAGGCGAGGCGAGGCGAGGCAGACAATTGCTGCTGCTGCGCTCTCTCATTTTGTAACGGACGGTAATAAACACGGAGAATTGATTTCGTATCAATGAACGCGTCGGTTACGGAATTAAACGCCGTGAATTAATTTGATTCTGTTGGTTACGGAATTAAATGCCGTGAATTGATTTGATTCCGTTGGTTACGGAATTAAACGCCGTGAATTGTTTCCGTATTAACGAGCGCGTCGGTTACGAAATTAAACACCGCGGTTGATGACTCCGAACGTTACTCTCGCGCTCGCATATATATACTCCGCAGCGACCAGAACGACGACGAAGTTCTTCACGACTCTTGCACTTCGAGTTCCTCCTCCTCTGTTCCTGAGCTGCAAAATCCTTCCCCGGTTCTGTTCACCTGCACTCACAGGTGTACAGGACGAGCAGGTGCTTCTGGAACTCCGTCCGCTTGAGAACTTGCACGGGTAGGCGGGCGATCAAGTTTTTAGGTAGCGCTTCAAGCGCGACTGCTCCTGTTCTTCGCGACTACTACTGCTACATCGACGCCTTTGTCAACATGTCGACGGAGATTGGAGACAAGGAGGTGAACGACATCAACGGAGGCAATACTGCCTCAAAATCCAGCGGTGGGACGTTCTTAGGGTATAGTTTCATTCTCCTGATTCTATTAGATGTTTCTATGTTGATGTTCTTTGCAATGGCAGCGTTGCGTTACTCTGTAAATGTTGATGCTTATTTCATTTTAAGCATGCTCAAGTTGTATACATCTAGCACTATCGCTAGATCTACTCATATTGCAAATGTCATGTTTATTGTCTTAATATTTTGGTTTAAAATATGCCGAATTATGACCAAATTTCCAACAATCCCAAAACTTGATAGGTCTTTTTCGGTAGTTGGCTTTGCTGCATCACTAAAACCACATGCTTTCGATGGTTCAAATTATAAAAAATGGAAAGCACGTACACTTTTATGGTTGACGGCGATGCATTGTTTCTTTGTCTCACGGGGCAAACCGAGTGAACCGCCTCTCTCTCCAGAGGAGGAGGCTAAGTTCGAGGCTTCGGATTGCCTGTTCCGTGGAGTATTGATCAGTGTACTCGTTGACTATATAGTGGACGTGTACATGCACATGCCTTCAGGGAAGGACATGTGGGATGCTCTTGAGGCCAAGTTCGGGGTTTCCGACGCCGGCAGTGAGCGGTATGTCATGGAGCAGTTCTATGACTACAACATGGTCGATGACCGTTCTGTAGTGGAACAGGCTCATGAAATTCAGATGCTGGCAAAGGAACTTGGGAACAACAACTGCGAGTTGCCGGACAAGTTTGTGGCGGATGGCATTATTGCAAAATTGCCACTTTCTTGGTCAGACTTTGCTACTTCTCTAAAACACAAGAGGCAAGAGTTCAGTATTACTGATCTTATTGGCTCTTTGGGTGTTGAGGAGAAGGCAAGGGCAAATGACAACCGGGGCAAAAAGATCGAGGGAGGTTCTAGCGCCAATTTGGTGCAGAAGAAGAACCCTCACACATCCCACAACAACAACAAGAAAGTCAAACTTGACGTTAAACCCAAGGCTACAACCAATTTTAAGAAGAAAGGCAAGGGAAAGGCAAAAGGAGATTGCTTTGTGTGTGGCAAGCCTGGGCATTAGGCCATGGATTGTCCTGAGCGCAAGGACAAGAAGTCTGCAAACATGGTTATTAGTGAGGGCGGAGGAACATTGTGGTATGGTAAATTTTTACCTACAGTTCTCTCTGTCTGTCACTCACCTGATTGGTGGGTTGATACTGGTGCTAATATTCATGTGTGTGCGGATATTTCCCTGTTTTCTTCTTATCAAGTCGGGAGAGGTTCCTCCTTGTTGATGGGAAACGGATCGCTTGTGG